CCTGCTGCCGTTCTTTCTAGTCCTTCCTCACGAGCTCCTCTCTTGCTGTTCCTGTGTTCCCGGGTGCTGTTCTAAGGCCACTTGTCTTATCACTTTACACACTCACTGACAATGGGTGTGTTCTGTCCTAGGGCACTTTCTGGTTGCCCGTGCTCAGATCTGTACCTCTAGCCCAGAACTGTCCTCTGAGCTTTAGACTCCGAACACCTTATATCTTCAAATGCTTTCTGGACCTGCCCTCCTGCATGTCCAGGGCTCTGCGTCCTCCCTCTTCCTCTCAGTATCTGTAGAACTTCCTCCATGGCTGCCCGGATACCTTCCTCCTGTGTCATCCCTGCTGGAAACTTGGGAGTCATCCTGAGGCTCTCTGTCTCTGTCTTCTCACACTCCATCTCCATCTTCAGGTCGGCTGATCTTTCCCCCTCCATCTCTCTTAAACTCTCTCTTCCTTTCCCATTTTTTTTGTTCCACTCTCTCATTTTAGGCCTCTAGATCTCTTGTCTACACCCCTGCAGCAAGTGGACAGTTGATTCCCTGCCTTCAGTCTTGTTCCTTTCAAATCCACCCTCCGTTAATTTCCAGAGTGAACATTGTGAAGTTGGCATGTCACCCCCTGCTCGATACCCACTGGAAACCCCATCTCCTAAAAACCTCATTTCCTGATTCAGCGCACGTCCCACTGTGACCTGGATGTGTCTGCCATCTTCTTGGCTTCCACCTATCCCTGCCTCATCCCTGCCCCCCAGGAACGGCCAGCATTCCTCCCAGCTCGCCATGGCGGTCCTCATGTGTAGAAGTTGATGGTGAGATGTGGGCTCTGCCTTATGTCTAGAAAATCCAAGCAAACCAAACCATGCCCCTCCCAGGGAAGACAGATGTTCAGGAAATGACAAACGGGAAGTCAAATCATCTCTTCATTGCTGGCTGGTCTTGGGCCCCAAATCCAGTGCAGACCAAGTGGTCAGGCTGGGAGACTGTGAAACTTTGGGCAAATTCCTTAACCCTTTTACATGTCAGTTTCTTACCTGTAAGATGGAGATAACAGTTGTACCTACCACATGAGGAGGTTGTGAGATTTCCAGGAACTAATCCATGCAGAACTTAGAACTATCTGGCATATGATAGCTATCAGTGAAGGTGAGCTAAAATAGTTATTATGTTAGGTCACATTACTTAACAAATCTAGTGCAACACTGTGTTGTAGGCATGACAGCGGGTTTCTGCCTTGTTTTCGATCCACTTTCTTTTTGGATGTTTTGTCTCACATGCACTACAGGACTATAGCCTGCATATATTTTCCTCATAACTCTTGGCTGGATTCTGGCCTGAAAGCTCTCGATAAATAACTTCCCTTTGAGATGTAGCATCCTATGTTATCTGCAAGTAATTAGTCTTAGGAAACAAGTTTTGTGATTTAGTTTGCCTAGATGACATTTAATCTTTGCAGTTGATATCTTAAGTCCCCACACTCTTGTGTATTCAGGGGATCACGAATCTCTCTCTTTCGTTTACTATGTCCCCAGGGTGAGAGAACAATGTCTGACTCATAGCAGGAGGTCAGTAAATACATGCTCCATAAGCGAAATCCCAAGATGTGCAGTGTTAATAATGCAGTCAGACTCTATGCCTGGCATTGGGTGGGTGCAGGGGCGTCATCCACACTTTTCTTTGCCTGTGTCTCCTGCGCCACAGCGACGGCCCCAGCAGAACTCCCTGCTGGAACATGGCAATGCCCCACAAGTTCAAACTTGTTCGGCGTGAAAGGCCCAGATGAGGCTCAGCTGCACCATTTAAAGAGAGAGGGTCCTAAGAAGAAGCTAGGTGGTGATTGATTTCGTGTGAAAGGTCATGGCGTCTTCAGGCGAGTAGAAGAGAATGGGAAGGTTTATCCTCCTAAACCCCTGGAGCCATTCAGCAGTGCAAGGGGCCAGGGGTCTGACCTCCCTGCCTCTAACAAAGGCTGAGATCACAGACTGTCAGAGGCTGCAGAAGGCTGTTTTGTCACGGAGGGAGGCTTGGTCAATGTCAGTCTTTGAAAGTGTCCCTTTCAACTTTAAGAATTGAAGATTTTCATAGAAATCAGTAGGTCAGAAACTGATTTCTCATTTGGGCTCACCTCTGCATTTTTTGGCCTGTCTGCTGACGTGTTGGCCATTCTTCTTTTCATTAGCAGTTCTACCAAGGAGCAGGCGTGGGGAATTAAAGGAGTCGAAACTCTCATGAGGCAGTTTATCCGCTTTGCTAGAAGAAGAATGGAATTGGCTCTCAAGCCTGAAGTTAGGTTTGTAGGACCATTTCTCATTTTAATTGCCTCTTCCTGCCTCTGTGCTCACTGACTACCCAGCGCCGGCAGGGGAGCGCTTTTTGGTGGTTCTTTTTGATTTCTATGCAAATGCTAATATTTGCAAAATAATTTCATAGAACTTGCTTATATGGAGATGAAAGCACTTCAGAAGGTTTTAGCTTTTATTTTAACTTTGCAGATAATCATATATTGGCATTTTAGGTCTCTTATTCTTTGCTGAGTAGATAGGTGAGAAACCTGGCTAATTTTTGCCTTTGTCCTTTCGTTTAATAAGCCCTCATAGGCCAAACCACGGGTTTCTTCTCCATGAAGGACAGAAAGTGGCACGTGCAGTGTAGCACAAAGCATCCGGTGACCACGGTGTGGCCTTGACGGAGGGTGGGGTCCCTGGGGAAGGGTTCGGAGCAGGTTGGCTCACCAGAGAACACCACCACCACCACCTCCCCCCCGTCCCTTCTTCCCCCCACCCCCAGTCTTGTTGTCCGAGAACTGCTCTCCTGGGAGTCACAGCATTTCCCTTACAGGCCAGGTCAGCACTTTCTCTGTGCTGGAGTGACAGATGAGAGGGGTGGGGGGAGGGCTCTGGACATGTGTCTGAGGAAGCCTGGGCAGACCCGGTAGTTGGTTGGGTGGTAAGAGAGAAGGAAAAGTCTAGGGTGACGCCCAGGTTTCTGTCTGCATGAATAGCTGATTCTGCAGAAAGATCGTGAGTCTGAAATTGTGTGTGTTTATTTTGAGGTGCTTCCAGAGCATCCCTGTAGAGATACCTGGAAGACAGTTGAAAATTCCTATCTGTGGTTTGGGGGCCATCACAACTGGATATATATGGATATATCAGCATGTAAAAGCGACCATTGGGACCACAGTGGAAGAACAAAACAGACCCCAGGGCAGAACCTTGGAGAAAATCAGCATTTCACCTCAGGCCTGGGAAGCAGATCTAGTAAAATAACCCGAGAAAGTTCAGAGCGAGAAAGAGAACCTGGTGATACAGTGCTGTCACCACATAACGTGTCACGGTGGGAGGTGGCAGCCAGTGGAAGGAGGTGGGGAAGGAGGGGGGCGAGGTCTGCAGAGGGAGCCCGGGCTGTACCCGCAGGAGCGGTTTGCCGGGGAGATCTGGGGGGCCTGAGAGAGGAAGGGGATGGTATGGAGGCGGCAGGCAGGACTGCGCTTCTAGAGCGTGGGGTGGGAGGTGGCCTACAAGCAAGGAGTAGAGCGATTTAAACAGGGCCCAGGTAGATGGCTTTTCTTTTCATTTTCTTCCCTTCCTCCATCTCTTTCTTCCTCTCAATGGGGAGACTTCAGCACATCTGTAGGCTTGAAGAACCATGGAAAGAGGGGCTGATTGGAGTGTCAAAGGGAGGACTTTTCCTGTAGTCGGTGCATCCCGCTTCAGAGGTGCACGGTTCCGCTTTAGCTCTTCCAGGTGACAGTGGAGGAATACTGGTGACTTGGGCAGTTGAGAAGGCGAGGTGGATTTGCGGTCTCACCAGACACAGTGGTGCATCAGCTCCCACAGACATAGTAAGGGTCGTGTAAAATTGCTAAAACAGTAAATGTAAAATTGTAAAAACAGTAGATGCTTTCTGTGGCATCTTAGATACCAGTTTACATTGGATCATTTAACTCTCACAGCAGCCTTACCAGGTAGTGGTATCATCCCCTTTGAATTGATAAGAGGCTCAAAGCTTAGAGGAGTTTCACTACTTGTCTGAAGTTCCACGGCCAGGCCGTGCTGGGGGTCAGTTGAACGTGCCGCATCTGAGTCCCCTGCTGTCCTGTGGGCCGGTCTGTGCTCTTCCATTCCCGCTGGGCCAGGAAGCTGCTTGTGTCACCAGACAGGCCCTGAATGCAAAACTGGGACTTCCGTAGCCCTGTGCTGTATAGCTGTGTAGCACATGGCTCAGAGGGACGCTTGATTTTGTCCTGACCAGGAGTAAGGGCCCGGGAAGGACAAGGATCCGGTTGTCCATCCACCGCCTGGCCAGTGGATGGGTCTCAGTGGGCCTCTCAATAGGCCTGAGCAGGCGCCTCTTCCCCTCACCACTCTCTGCATCCCCCGAAGCAGTTGCAAGTTGGCAGATAAGACTGCACGAACGACCCGCTGGTGCCCTGATCCTAAAAGAGCCTTGTCTTGCCCAGGTGGGGGTGTTGGAAATAGATTTTATCAGGCAGATTTCCCTAAGCGGGGGCAGTGATGTATGTACGTGGTGCTTGCAGGTAAACGCTGTGGAGGAGTCCATTTAGTTAAAGAAGCAGGTGCATCAGGGAAGTAATGGTAAGGGGAGATGCTTGAATGGCATATTCACTTTTAAAAAAAAAGGAAAAGAAAAGTGATAGATGCCTGGGTTGCTTTTTGTTATTTTCTTCTTAAACAAGAACTATAAATCTGGAGTGGACAGCAAAGAAAAGAAATCAGAGCAGCCTCATTTAGCAGAGACCCCTCCTACCCTGGGGACCCCTGCCAGGTGACTTGGGCGGTCCCTGCAGAGGCAGGACTCAGCCGCGCCAGGTTGGCCTCTTTTCCTGGAGCATTTCCCAGCAGGCGGCTTGCCCCTCCCAGGCCTTCCAGGAAGCGGACACTCCCAGGTGGGAGAGTCGTGGAGGAGGACCGCGAGGGTTGGTTGGGGGGGGAGCTGGAGCTCTATCGCACGGGCTGGCCTGGCCCTAACCCTCCTCCTTGTCGCTGCAGCCTTTCCGCTGCGCCCATTGCCACTACTCATGCAACATCTCGGGCTCCCTGAAGCGGCACTACAACAGGAAACACCCCAACGAGGAGTATACCAACGTGGGCACCGGGGAGCTGGCGGCCGACGCGCTCATCCAGCAAGGTAGGCGAGCGGGCCGCTCCTGTCCTGCCCGGCCGAGCCCCACGGGGCGGCGCTGCGAGCTCCTGCAGCGCCGCCCCGATCCCTGAACGGTCCTCAGCGTAACTGCTGTCCTCCGCCTCCTTCTTGCTGTTTATATCATGTTACTTATGCCAGGATTGGATTACAGCGACCTTAATGGAACTCTTAAATGGACAAAGCGATAATTAACCCACAGATTTTACCACCCTTTCCATAATGTTCATTTGCCAGTACAGTCATCCCTCAGTATCTGCGGGGGATCAGCTCCGGGACCCTCACGGATACTGCAGTCCGCGGATGCTCGATCCCTTGTGTAAAATGGCAGAGAACAGTCAGCATTTGTATCTGCAGCCCCACGTTGGATGCGGAACCCGGGGGTGCGAAGGGCTGACTGTATTGCCTTCTGTCCTTGGTCCGTGCACACATTCCGCACAAATGAAAGTTCATGGCTTACTTAACAATGATTAACATGAGCATTTTGTTTTCCTTTGGTGCACTGTCTTCCTACTTTAACCTCTGAGGGCTTTTCGCGATACAGCATCAAGTATTATTTAACTATGCTCCTGTTGTTAACACTGTAGGGTTTCCAGATTTTTCCTTTATTGCAGTTGTAAATAATGCTGTACTGGTCACATTTATAGGTGGGATTCTTTCGATTATCCAAAAATGTTTATTGAGTGCTCAGATTACTTAATGCATCTTGAAAAGGAAAAACTATTTAGAACATTTAAACTAAAGAGAATGGATGAAAACCTCTAATATCATTGAAAAGTTTGGCGGGGTTTTGCTTCTTTTTTGAAAACATAATCACATTCGCACTTGCGAGGGTTTAGCTCACGTTCTGTTGCCACACAGAGAAATGCTGTTGGATTTATATCTGTGCTTCGGTAATTCAGGTGAAAAATCATTGCAGCGTGCCATGCGTCAGTTGCTACTCTTTCCTGAATCCTGTGACTCTTTGAAGTTGAAGACCATTTTAGAAACCTGCCCCCGTAAACAGAGCTGTGGGATTGTAAACTCGGCTGCAGCCGGGGCCACTCCTAGTTTTCCGATGCAGCGTGAAGCTCCACTTGCTGTAATCGCCATGAAAGGCATCTTAATGTAAAACAAACGAATTGACTGCATCCTTCAGCACTTTCGGTGACAGGGCTGATGTACAGAAATGGATGAGCAGGAGAAGAAACTCGGGATAATTTTAAGCCATCCATCTGCGGTAACGGGAGCGTGGGCCTGGCATTGGCTTGAATGGCAGTTTCACGGAGCTGGAGGGCAGGAAGGTGCGGTGCCATTTGGGCAAGTCACCCTCCTCTCTACCTGAGGCCCTGCACCTCAGGTGGAGTTCACAGCAGCCATCCCTTGTGATCGCGGGGAGAGTGAAATGAGAACACTTGAGTGTCTGGCACTCAATACATTTTCATTCCTTTCTTTTGTTTTTATGTTTTGTTTTGTTTTGTTTCTGAAAATATCTGTGAGCCTTTCTGAATACTAATGTAGCACCCTGACTCTAGGACATTTTATAAAAATTGACTATGAGGAAGAATTGTACCCAAGTTTTACCCAAGTTATAATTTCTCAGCAAAAAAAATTTTTTTTTTTTTGCGGTACGCGGACCTCTTACTGTTGTGGCCTCTCCCGTTGCGGAGCACAGGCTCCGGATGCGCAGGCTCAGCGGCCGTGACTCACGGGCCCAGCCGCTCCACGACATGTGGGATCTTCCCGGACCGGGGCACGAACCCGTGTCCCCTGCATCGGCAGGCGGACTCTCAACCACTGCGCCACCAGGGAAGCCCTGGTGCCTCATTTTTGATGATTCCCCTGTCTAGGAATCACAGAGGAGAGGATAGATCGCCTTAGAGTCACAGTAAATAATTGGAGTAGTGGGCTAGTGATTCGTTTTAACATCCTTCACACTCTTGGGTTGGATTGGCAGGAAATAGACGTTTACTGTGGCAGCTGGGACAGGCTTGGGGATCTGACTGATGACACTGTCATAGCTCCGTGCTTCCAAACTTTAATCGTTGCCTTGCAGAAAATGTGCTGAGGTCAAGTTGCTTCATGCCCTAAGTTTTCACTTAACTTTCCAAGACTCTCTATAACCAATTGGCATTCCCTGACAGGGTCTGGGTTTTATTTCTGATCTTTGCAGGGCTATTTTTGGCCTTTGTGTGTGTGTGTTTATTTATTTTTTCTGTGCCCCCCATTAAGAGACATATTGTGGAAGGAAACAACTAAATGTCTCTTGGCTCATAGGAGACGTTGTGCCATTGTGTGTTGGCGGGAAAACTGTCTCTGAAAGCAGAGAGCTGGTTGACTGAGTGCAGCTCAGAGATCTCAAGAGCACACAGCTCTTGCTGTGGAGAGTGAAGGAGACAGGGAGAAAGTGGAGCTGGATAAAATGACTGTCTTTGGAAATGATGAGGTGTTTGGTACCACTGGAATTTTTCTTTTCCTTTTGATTAATTTCATGTAATTCTCCCTATCCCCACTTGGTTTTATTTTCGTCTTCACATCACTCCTCAAAAGATATCTTTGTGGGACTTTATAATTTCTTGTTTTGAGGTAGAGGAATATGTGTTAAAATGATGATGTAATAAAAACCCCACAAATAAAATGTAGTTTTATCAAAACGATGCTAGTCTCCTGAAACCAAGGCAGGGACTCCTTGTGCATCAGCTGTGTTTAAACGGTGTTGCACTGTGACACAGGCAGGGCCATCAGTTGCTGGGAAAGATTCTCCTGGCCCCATGGTGAGGGGTTTGGGGAGGGTGTCCGTGCACAGCACTGCAGGAGAGGCGGGAAGAAGGCCGAATAGGCTGAGGTTTCTGCTCCGTGTAGGTTTCTGAGGGAAAGGCACATGGTGTTTTCCACGGAGTTTGGGTCATTTTCAGCGAGCTCCGGAATGGGGGCTGCTAGGGCATCCACTCGTCGTGTTCTGTGAGAGTTTACCAGCTGGCTCTCCCGGGGCAGGGAGGAGGGAACCTGATTCATAGCATTTGCCAGTTTCTGTGCCGTGCATATTTCCGCCAGGGCCAATTTTCAGCTTCCAGTGTGAGGTCGCTGAGCTGGGAAGAGATGGTTCCAGCGGCCCCAGCACACCTCTGGTCCTGGGGGCACAGATGCCGCTTCCAGCCGCATGCCAGCTGGGCCCCATCAGGAGGCACCAGTTCCCTCAGGCTTCAGTGCTTTTTGGCAATTAGACTTGTACTGAATGCTACTTAAGTGTTTTATTCCCTGCTTATGTTTTATGTACTTCTGATATTTTGAAAGCAGATCAGACAATCTCTTGTTTATTCTTCTCAGCCCATCACTTGTTCCTTAATATGGATTCGAGGCGTTTTCCCACAAAATACACATTTTTCACATTGTATGGCTTCAGTGGGTCTGCCCCCTTTCCTCCTTTTAAAATGCCCCTGATGAAGCTAGCTCAGGAGTTGGTTCACTAAATCACAGGTTGTGAAAGGCATCCGATGCTTTGATGCTAAGCGTCACAAACTCTCAGCTCATTCCCGGAGCTCACGGTGGGCTAACGATGGGGCTTAGTGGGCTGGTCCTTTTCCGGTGACCTCAAGGCCCTCCTTCAAGTCGCCCCAGGCGGTTGGCACGAGTGGAGGGTTGGGAGCACAGACCCTGGAGGCGGGTCTGTGATCACTGTGGCCCCTGGACCAGTTACTTACCTTCTCTGAGTATCAGGTTGCAAAGATGAGATCTTATTCTTGAAGATTCCAGACCGTGCCTGACATGTAACAGGTGCCTGATAAATGGTTCAAATTCCCTATCGTGTTTATTCCCAAAGCCCTTCTTCATGGCGCATCTTGAGCCCCTCACGTGTCCCACACTGTGCAAGACACTGGGCTGTGGTAGCATTTTTGTCCTTCCTGCCTGGGTTGGAGACAAAGGCTGGGCAGTGCCTCCGTGTTCTTACCCTCTAGCAGAAAGTACACGTTCCTTTTAACAGGCCCGATGCTGCTCATGGGAGGAAAATCATCTGCTTCTCCTGGGTGGTGTGCCTTAACTCAGGCTCCCCGTTTTAGGGGATCATTGAGGAAGGGTAGGTAATTAAGATAAGAAAAGATGTGAGGAGGCAGACCAGGAGAAGGCTTAGTTTTGTGGCATCTGCTAAAATCTTTGCGTTATTTTGAACAGTTGTATTAGAAAAGTGTAAATATGTGTACATCCGTACCTTAGATGTACATTCACACCAGATTCAGGGAAAACAGTATAGAAGAAAATCCAGAAACTATCAGTTAACCCAAAGTCCTTTGTTTGACTTTTGGACATTTTTATTTTAAAATTGTTTTTATTAGGGCCTAGATTCCCATACATTATTGGCAGGTGCTTCCAGTGCCGTCATGCTACGCCATGTTGTTGGTTGTTATTTTATATGTTATCTTCTCTCTCACGAAGCCCTGTGGGGTTGGCGTCATCATTTCCATTTTAAAATGAGGAAGCGTAGGGAGGGAAAAGGACCGGCCCCGGCCACAAAGTGAGCTGGTGGTCAAGCCAGACCGGGGTCCTGATTCAGAGTCTGGCTTCTCACCACGGGTATCCTGGATCTCAGATCCCAAGATTTTGAGGAGTGTGTGAGGGGACCAGGAGGGATGGGGGAGACTTTGCTTAAGCTCCGTTTACCAAGTCCTCACTGGGGTTTGGAACGTCAGCCTGGCTTATAGTCAAATGCACTTTGTTTTTCCTCTGCAGTATTTCCCAAGTCCGATTTCGTATTTCACTTGTTAATAAAATCAAATTACTCTATATCCACTTTCCTTTGATAAGTAAAATGCTTTTGGTCCAGTTACCCTTGAGTGCCTGTATTAGTTTCTTATTGCTGCTGTAATAAATGACCACAAACTTGGCGGTAGTTTAAAGCAACATGGATTTATGGTCTTACCATTCTGAAGGTCAGGAGTCCAAGACGGGTCTCACAGGCTGAAGTCAAGTTTGCTAACAAGTCTGTATTCCTTCTGGAGTCTCTAGGGGAGGATCCGTCTTCTTGCCTCCTCCAGCTTCTAGACACTGCCCGCATTCCTTGGCTCGTGCCCCGTCCTCCAAAGCCAGCAGTCTTGCTCAGGTTACGTCACTGGGATCTGCTCTCCCACTCCCTTCTTAGAAGGACCCTTGTGATTACATTAGGCCCATCCAGATAGTCCAGAATAATCCCCCATCTCAAGATCCTTACGTGAATCCTACCTTTGAGATCTCTTTTGCCATGGGAGGTCGCATAGTCACATGTTCCAGGGATTAAGATGTGAATATCTTTGGGGGGCCCATTGTTCTGCTGACCTCGCTGCCTTTTATAAGGATACAAGCTTTAGCATTTTTACCTTGGTAGAAGAGAAAACCAAGACCCAGAGAATTTAAGGAAGTGGTTCTGAGTCACGTGAGCAAGTGCCAAATTCAGGTCTCTGACTGTCCAACCCAGTGTCTCATGCCATTCTGGGCGTTATATTATTGAAAATGAAATGGAATTTTCCATAATGTCAGCCACTGCAAAGGAGTGCAAATAGTTTAATGCTCAAAATTCCTCCAGAATATACTGCTTTCCAAAAAGAACAAAGGGTTCCATGATGGAATTTTAAAATTCCTCCTGAAATTCTATCCTTTGGCCTGGTTTGTCTTTCCTCAGGAGGAATTTGCGACTTGGGCGGTGGGGGGATGTTTAGGGTTTTATGGTGCACACTTAATATCAATGCTGCAAGCAAATTCACCAGGCCTCCCCATGACCTTTACTGAGTGTGGCCTAAGCATTTAATGAATTGAAATGGAAATTAATATTTCTCAGCTTTAATGTCAATTAACTGGCATAGTTACACCTTCAGTCTAGATTACATATTTCCATTTGTTGTTCTTTAATTAAAGCCACCATGGCAAAGGTGGACGTTTTAATTAATGTGGAGGCATTCTCATATTCATTTTAATTTAAACATAATATAAGGATGTTTTTCTCCCTAAATTAGTTTCTGTTAAAGAATAGCCCAGAAGGAACCTTCAATTTCATTTTAAAGCCTAAATTTAACCTTAGGTAGTTTGCTTGTGTTCATTGCCTCGTATTAAGTCTTTATAGAAGCAATGTCAGCTTAACCAAAAGAAAAGGTAGTGGTTCTCATACCTTGGAGGGTTTTAAAAGATGGTTGTAGGAAAATAGTTCATTTTAGATGATTAATAAGCAATAACAAAGAAGGTTAAAAAGTAAGTTTTATTATCCTCTGGGCAAGAAAGAGCAAGCCCATTTGATTTTGCCTAAAAAAAGAGTGCAGTGTATTTGAGTTTCAGAAAACAAGCATCTGTTTGAGCTGCCTTTTCTGTAGAATGTTCTGGAAGTTCAGAATTGGTGTCTGTTGCCGGTCTTAGCGCTGACTCTAGTCCCCCTCTCTGTTGGACCTGCTGTGCCTTCCTGTGCCCTCCCGGCGTGGGAGGCCGAAAGTTTAAGGGGCTGTGCTGTCGGCCACCTGGGTTGGCTTCCGTTCCTTCTCGTGACTTTCTGGGGAATCGCCCACCACCTCAGGTGATAGACAGGAAACCCCAGTTACAGAACGGTGCTCTCTGAGAGTCACTGACATGGAATTGATTCAGGAGAGCTAGCACATCCCAGCTGCATCTAGGAGATGCTTAAATTAGGTGATGTGTACCATGAGATTTGTCTAGTTCTTATATAATTTGTTGACACCTTGTCATGAGGACAGAATTCCTCTCCCTCCCTCCTTAGTGCCCCAGTGAGCAAGAAATAAATACTGAGGCTGGGAGGGCACAGGGAAGCACAGCAGGTCCAGCAGAGATGGGGGACCGGGTCAGCAGACAGACTGACAACAACAGCAGGTGTCCTGAGAAGAGAAGGAGCTTGGGGAATGCAAAAGACAGAGAAAGGTGA